GGTTACCAACTGCAGTCGTGGACGCTTTGTTTTGTTCTTTTCAAAAGTGAAAATGATTAGAGATGACCTAAGAAGCACCACTAAGGGTCAGAACACGTCTAACACTCGCGCTGACGTGAGCTCCGGGACATGAATGTCTGCGTGAAGCGGACAATTCCAGCTTCATCAACACATGTGCTCATGCAAGGCTTGGAAATGTAACTTGTAAAATGTTGTTTTTTTGTCCCTTTTCACACCTGCAATTGTTATCTACGTGTTAGTAATACTATTAGTGAAGTGGCAGATATATTTGCCGTATTATCTGGGTGTATAGCAAATGGAATACCTTACTATATTACCTTACTATAACATACCTTACTATAACATACAAGTCCTTTATAATATATGCTACAGGCACGTGCCTGCTCAATCCCACCCTCACCAACATCACTACAAATTTGACGTTTGTCAAATAAGTATGAGAGGAGCTGTATGAGGGGTATGAGGAAGCGGGGCGTAGATATAAGGGCGTCAGTATGAGGGAACCACTGAGCCGGAGTTACTGGGAAGTTCAACAAAGTTCCACCGTAAATCCTCTATAGGGGGAGGGTGAAATTACCGGCCGAACGTCTGTCCTTTATTGAACGGAGGCGGAGAACTTGCTCCCTTGGCGTCCAGATGGCGCTGGCAGCGATGGTAATGCCACTCTCCTAACGGTGCTTGTCTAACAGTACTTGCCTAATAGTCACTAGAATTAAGTGTAACTCGCTTCTTGCCCGACGGTGACTCGCCCAACCTCTTGCGCTGGACGGTAGAGCGACGGTCTCGCTTCATGCAGGTCGGCGTTCAATCCCCGACCGTCCAAGTGGTGTAGCACCATTCCTTTCCCCCGTCCCATCCCAAATCCTTATCCTGACCCCTTCCAAGTGCTTTATGGTGATAATAGCCAAGTGGTGTCTCCTGATAGTTCTCTTCTCTACGGAGGAGTGAGCTGGGGTTCTGCCTGCTCCGTCATGATTGTGGTTGGTGGTAATGGTGGTAGTTGTGGTGGTGGTGGTTGTAGCGTTGCCATCAGCAGTTAGTCGTTAATAAACCTGGCCGTTGGCATGGCAACCGTAGGCCTATTGCTGCCAGCGACTTATGAGCGCTCTCTTTAGTTGATATCGAGATAATGTTTACTGCGTTGGAGATATTTTTTTCTGTACATCATATGCTGGAAGGTCGCTATTTGTGAGCGCTGTATATACACGCTGAACCTATTCCCCTCTCAGGTTGAGCCCATTCCCCTCTCAGGTTGAGCCCATTCCCCTCTCAGGTTGAGCCCATTCCCCTCTCAGGTTGAGCCCATTCCCCCTCTCAGGTTGAGCCCATTCCCCTCTCAGGTTGAGCCCATTCCCCTCTCAGGTTGAGCCCATTCCCCTCTCAGGTTGAGCCCATTCCCCTCTCAGGTTGAGCCCATTCCCCTCTCAGGTTGAGCCCATTCCCCTTCTCACGCTGAGCCCCCCCCCCCCTTTCCTCTCGCTTGCCACTCACGCATGCCTAAGAGTGGCTTGTTTACACTATCGACCCCCATCGTTAAAATTGCGGCGGTTTAGGGAATTTAAATCAGCGCATTATTGACGGTTCATATGACTAACGAGTACTGGCTCCGGCGGGACAGGCTTCGTTCTCACGTTGCTCTTTCAACCTGTCGCACTTTGCCGTCACAATCCCCAACGGACAAAATATGATGCACTATCCATCATAGCGGCTCACAAGCAGTCACGTTTTATATGCGCGAGTCGCTCGGTCAGGTTAGGTTCGGGTGTTTTGCTACAGCATTTTCTGGCCGTTGTGGCAACTGGAGAGGACGGGATGTTTGGTTAGTCTAAACCGCTGCATTTTGTACTGATCGGTAATGAAATGACCGCGGCCGTGATGGTGGTGGTGGTAGTCGTGGTCATGGTGGTGGTGGTGGTGGTGGTGGTGGTGGTAGTCGTGGTCATGGTGGTGGTGGTGGTGGTGGTCCTGGTGGTGGTCATGGTGGTCGTGTCGGTGGTGGTCGTGGTGGCCTATGACACTGGTGGATGTCTGCGTCTGCTGCATGGAGAGGTCAACACTTTCTCTGGCTGAAAAGTATATATTGGTTGTTATTGTTAATAAGGGCCCAAGGCCGCGGATTATTAACACACACCTCAGTGACCCCACACCACACCTACACCACACCTACACCACACCCCACACACCACACCCCACACACCACACCCCACACACCACACAATACACTACACCCCACACCACACCCCACACCACACCCCACACCACACCCCACACACTACACCACACAACACACCCCACACCACACAACACACCTCACAACACCACCCCATACACTACCCCTCCCCACACACCACACACTACACCACACACCACAACACCACAACACCACACCCCACAACACACCACACACACCCCACAACACACCCCACCCCACACCACACGTTGACCCCCCTACAGTGTCTCACCCCACCTTCCCCACCATTTAACACTAAGGGTGAGAGTAAGTGTCACATATATCACAAGTCAAGCGCAGCGGTGCCACTGTGGTTAACACCGGGGGTGAACCACCCACTTGGTTTAGTGTGAGCTGATTGTCGCCATGTTAACATTTTTGTTTACTGCTAAACAAGTCATATTGGCTGCAAAGTGGAGGTGGAACCCTTTATGTTGCCTGAGTGTTCATACGGTCACTTGGGGCGGGTTGTGAACTATCTTGGTTTTTTTTTTTAATTTTGCCCCGAGGGGCGAGTTTATTAGGCAGCGCCACTCATCTTGTGAGTGGACACACCGCCATAGTGACAGTATTGGGCAGCGCCACTCATCCTGTGAGTGGACACACCGCCATAGTGACAGTATTGGGCAGCGCCACTCATCTTGTGAGTGGACACACCGCCATAGTGACAGTATTGGGCAGCGCCACTCATCCTGTGAGTGGACACACCGCCATAGTGACAGTATTGGGCAGCGCCACTCATCTTGTGAGTGGACACACCGCCATAGTGACAGTATTGGGCAGCGCCACTCATCCTGTGAGTGGACACACCGCCATAGTGACAGTATTGGGCAGCGCCACTCATCCTGTGAGTGGACATACCGCCATAGCAGCATGTACAACACTCCCCAATAGGAAGAAAACCCGCTGGGTTGTTCATCCTGTCACTTGTACCCAGACACAGCTGGGACTTACTTAACTGTCTCAAGTGAACAGCTCCTCAAACAAGAAGATTAACATCTGTCAACCCTTAAAAGCTTACGTTATCTTGCGGGTGCAAAATGGGGGAATCTTATAAGAACAGTTTCAATATTTGACAAATAGTGTTTTCCTAGCACAAACAATGTGGGATTTATTATTCTACACACATTTCTAATGTCTCAGGTGTTCACATTCACGTAGATAGTGGTCAAGGCGGTGTCCGTCATTCTCACCACAGATTCTGCAACTTCGCTGACCAACTGTTGTTTCCATTCCATATCCCCATGGATATTTGTATCCAAGACGGATCATCGCTATTACTGATTCTCTCCCGCGTCCTCCTCCTCTTCGTCCATAATGATTGGGATTTGTGACAGCACGAATGGTTTGTTTGTAAGGATTGGGGGATGATTAGTGGCTGTAGGGGTGCTGACCTAAACAGTGATCTCGTAACTGTAAGTCTCGTAACCCCCCATGTTCTCTGTCTGTATCTGTCTGTCAGTCAGTCAGTTCCCCCCCCCCCTTCTGCCCCCTCCTATCACACCCCTTAAGACACACTCTCAAGAGTATGTGAGAGAGCGGGAGAGGTCAGGTGAGCCTCTACCTGCTCCCGGGGGCGTCAACACATTATCAGAGGTTATCATTACACCAAGAGTGATTACACAGCAAGAGGCGGGGGCAGGGGTGGGGGGGGGGAGGCAGGGGGCTGGTGTGGGCACACGTCGCTTAATTATTAATTCAGGAGGCGGCCGTCATCACAGAGGTTAGGGGGGGAGGAGGGGGGGGGAAGGGGGGGGGAGGGGGCGGGGGAGTTCTGCATGTATTGATGAATCGTCTTCGGAACCAGGCCAAATTTTTCCCCTGTTAATAATTACATTTGCATAGCAGCGAGCCGCATCGGAATTGTGGGAGAGAGAGAGAGTGGACGGGAGACACTGGGACCTGTCTCTTGTGTTACAGTGGGGACCTGTCTCTTGTGTTACAGTGGGGACCTGTCTCTTGTGTTACAGTGGGACCTGTCTCTTGTGTTACAGTGGGGACCTGTCTCTTGTGTTACAGTGGGACCTGTCTCTTGTGTTACACTGGGGACCTGTCTCTTGTGTTACAGTGGGACCTGTCTCTTGTGTTACACTGGGGACCTGTCTCTTGTGTTACACTGGGGACCTGTCTCTTGTGTTACACTGGGGACCTGTCTCTTGTGTTACACTGGGGACCTGTCTCTTGTGTTGCACTGGGACCTGTCTCTTGTGTTACAGTGGGACCTGTCTCTTGTGTTATACTGGGGCCTGTCTCTTGTGTTATACTGGGGTCTGTCTCTTGTGTTACAGTGGGACCTGTCTCTTGTGTTACACTGGGACCTGTCTCTTGTGTTACACTGGGTCCTGTCTCTTGTGTTACACTGGGGACCTGTCTCTTGTGTTACACTGGGACCTGTCTCTTGTGTTACAGTGGGACCTGTCTCTTGTGTTACACTGGGACCTGTCTCTTGTGTTACACTGGGACCTGTCTCTTGTGTTACACTGGGACCTGTCTCTTGTGTTACACTGGGACCTGTCTCTTGTGTTATACTGGGGCCTGTCTCTTGTGTTATACTGGGGCCTGTCTCTTGTGTTACACTGGGACCTGTCTCTTGTGTTACAGTGAGTGAGCCTGTGACGGGGGAGACTTGGGGGGGGGGGGGTGTACTTACCTCGCTCTTGTGACACTACTTATCAGAGTCTACGGGGGAGTGTCTTAATGCCCCCCTCCCCCCTCTACTAGCCTTGTAACTTAACTACTCCGTTGAAACTTAATTATTCCGCCTTTCAAATTCTTTGTCGAATCGGGCCAGGTGGTCGACCACGGGTGATCGACCACGGGTGATCGACCACGGGTGATCGACCACGGGTGGTCGACCACGGGTGGTCGACCACGGGTGGTCGACCACGGGTGGTCGACCACGGGTGATCGACCACGGGTGGTCGACCACGAGTGATCGACCACGGGTGGTCGACCACGAGTGATCGACCACGGGTGATCGACCACGGGTGGTCGACCACGAGTGATCGACCACGGGTGGTCGACCACGGGTGATCGACCACGGGTGGTCGACCACGAGTGATCGACCACGGGTGGTCGACCACGGGTGGTCGACCACGGGTGGTCGACCACGGGTGGTCGACCACGGGTGGTCGACCACGGGTGATCGACCACGGGTGGTCGACCACGGGTGATCGACCACGGGTGGTCGACCACGGGTGATCGACCACGGGTGGTCGACCACGGGTGGTCGACCACGGGTGGTCGACCACGGGTGGTCGACCACGGGTGGTCGACCACGGGTGGTCGACCACGGGTGGTCGACCACGGGTGGTCGACCACGGGTGGTCGACCACGAGTGATCGACCACGGGTGGTCGACCACGAGTGATCGACCACGGGTGGTCGACCACGAGTGATCGACCACGGGTGGTCGACCACGAGTGATCGACCACGAGTGATCGACCACGGGTGGTCGACCACGGGTGATCGACCACGGGTGATCGACCACGGGTGGTCGACCACGGGTGATCGACCACGGGTGATCGACCACGGGTGGTCGACCACGGGTGGTCGACCACGGGTGATCGACCACGGGTGATCGACCACGGGTGGTCGACCACGGGTGGTCGACCACGGGTGATCGACCACGGGTGATCGACCACGGGTAGTCGACCACGGGTGGTCGACCACGGGTGGTCGACCACGAGTGATCGACCACGGGTAGTCGACCACGGGTGGTCGACCACGAGTGATCGACCACGGGTAGTCGACCACGGGTGGTCGACCACGGGTGGTCGACCACGGGTGGTCGACCACGAGTGATCGACCACGGGTGGTCGACCACGGGTGGTCGACCACGGGTGGTCGACCACGGGTGGTCGACCACGGGTGGTCGACCACGGGTGGTCGACCACGGGTGGTCGACCACGAGTGATCGACCACGGGTGGTCGACCACGGGTGGTCGACCACGGGTGATCGACCACGGGTGGTCGACCACGAGTGATCGACCACGGGTGGTCGACCACGAGTGATCGACCACGGGTGGTCGACCACGAGTGATCGACCACGGGTGATCGACCACGGGTGGTCGACCACGAGTGATCGACCTGTAACGGGGGGTGGGGGAAATAGCTCTATCTTGTCCATTATTCCACCCCCCAGTTAACTAACGAGGCCGGGGGAAACAGCTCTCTCTAGTCCGTTATCCCGTCCCCAGTTAGCTAACTATTCTAGAGCACTCCCAGAGATTCTAAGGCAACCTCTCTCGTTCAACACCTTGTAACCTAGGTATTTGACTACCTAGGTGCTAAGACTACAAGGCGCCGTCACTTGATCAGTTACCCGAAACTCTAGAGAGAACTCTAGAATACAGAATCATAGCCACAAACGTATAAGAGAAAACGAAAGGAAAGAAATGAATAGTGAAGTAATTAGTGAGGGTTTGGGGTGAGAGGCAGAGAGGTGGGAGGGGCGAGGAGGGTCATTAGTTGAAAGTGAGAGTTTAGAGAAGGGTGGAGGGAGAGGTGTAGATACGTAGAAGTAGAAGAGTAGATAGTAGAAGTAGAAGAGTAGATAGTAGAAGACGAAATGCTGCCACCATCCATTCATGATCATTACATACAAGACAAGGAATGGAACTTGCCTGTATCACAAAATTCTCAAAGGATGTTATCAAGAGATCATTATTAGTAGTTCCCATCTTTATCATGTACTCATTCTAAACCATGAAAACAGTAACCACAGAGGCTTTCTCACCTCAACTCAAAGCTCTAGGGAACAAAGTTAAACACAATTTAAATAATAAATTCATAATTATATTTCACATGAAGTATCATAATTTAGCAATTCAATTAAAATGTTAAAGAGAGTCATCATCCAAGAATTCGAGAACCCTACAACTTGACTGCCCCTGATCATCACACAACATATGTAAACACGACCAAGTCACCTTAATGTTCACTCACCGAGGACTGAGTCTAAGTTGAATAGAGAGGGGGGGGTGGGGTCTGTAGTTGACAGAGACTCCCGCCCTGCCGGCCGACAGCCTTCCTGGTAGGGCTGTCTTCTCTCTCTGCTGGCTCGTGTGCTGTTCTGTCTCGTTAATGCTTGATGCTCGATAGCTCTCCGAGTTTATATTGGGGAACCTAGTAGCTAACTCCGCCCACAAATAGATAGCCTCCGGCACTACCAAGCCACTCCTTAAACGTCGGCATGTTTGAAGGCTACCAGACTACAATTATCAGCTTAGCGGAAGCAAGGTGAAATTCTCATGATCTGACCTCAGGTCACTTGAGGTCATTAACGCTTTGAGGTGTGAGATCTCAGGCAGACAACTGGCGCCTCTCAGATCCTTGTCTGTGACTCATGTACTCTATGTATGTATTAACCTAAACCAAACACTTTTACAGTGTTACATCTCCCCTTCTCCCCGAAAATAAAGTTTTTGCAACACTGCTAAAGCAAGCTAGCTGTGTGCGACAACTTTATTAACGAAAAGAATACATCCTAGCTAAACAAATATACATCATCCTACTCTAAAAAATGAAATATGTAGACAGACGTCCATTGTCTCTGGCTGGGCGACGTCACTGCTTGGTCTTGTAGATAATCCTGTACCACATTTCTTCAACACAACTGCCTCCGTCGCTTCTCCGTCGTTAACGCACAACAACACTTGGTCAACCCGAAAGCCGTTACTACTTGAACTGAGCACAGGACCGTGGAATTCGGTTGTCCCAGCTGATCTGTAATTGGCCCTACGTCAGTCACCATGAGAGACGTATATTGGGGTTCTTCACAGCTATAGGGACTACAAGTTTCGAGACCTTCATATAGTTGCCAACAGTAGAAATCCCATCCTACTCTTCTTCCTCCCTGTTGCTCCAGCACGCCTCCTTCAGAGAGCTACTTCTGACAGCCACATCAAGTCCGCATGACACAGGAAGAATCACTCAACAGAGCAACATGCTTGTAGGAGGGGCGGCCAGTTAAGGCAAACGATCCTGTCTTGCAATTACGCTCCATGCAATGATGCTGACACCAGCAAGGGACACTAGGTATCATGTCTCAGCTTGTCTTATCTTCTTCTTTCTTCTCTCTTCTTTTTTCTCTCTTCTTTCTTCTCTCTTCTTTCTTCTCTCTTCTTTCTTCTCTCTCCTCCTCCCCCATGGGTCTTTGACAAGCGACCTGGGGTCCATTGGGGTCCGTCCGTCCTGGGGTCCATCCTGGGTAGACCGATGTTGGTGGTACAGACTGGAGTCGTTGTTGTTCCTCTTCCATCTTTACTGGGTCGTCTGGGGTCGTCTGCAGAACGACCTGGGGTCCACTGGGTAGACCAATGTTGACCGACCGAGAGGGCTGCGTCTTGGGGTCCCCTGGGGTGGTGGTGGTGGTGGAGCCATGACCTCCAGGTAGTGGGCTGGTCGTGGTGGTGGTGATAAACGCCCCTGAGTGTGGTACACAGCAGCCGTCTCCCTCTTCTGTATATGCGTCGCGCCTCTCCTCTGGCTCCCACCTGTGAATTGAACATAAAGGCGACAATACCCGTGTTCCATGCTGTTGTGTGACCCTGTAGTTTGTATAGGGTTACACAGTTATATCATAACGCTCTCCTCCTGGCAACAACTACACTTCAAATTTTTTTTTTTTTTTTTTTTATAATCCAATTAACTCTGAATGATATTGACTTGGTGGAACATAAAACAGTAACAGAGTAAAGTTAGAGAAGAGAGAATAAGGGCATCACTACTTGTAACGGGGGGTGGGGGAAATAGCTCTATCTTGTCCATTATTCCACCCCCCAGTTAACTAACGAGGCCGGGGGAAACAGCTCTCTCTAGTCCGTTATCCCGTCCTCAGTTAGCTAACTATTCTAGAGCACTCCCAGAGTTCCTAAGGCAACCTCTCTCGTTCAACACCTTGTAACCTAGGTATTTGACTACCTAGGTGCTAAGACTACAAGGCGCCGTCACTTGATCAGTTACCCGAAACTCTAGAGAGAACTCTAGAATACAGAATCATTGCCACAAACGTATAAGAGAAAACGAAAGGAAAGAAATGAATAGTGAAGTAATTAGTGAGGGTTTGGGGTGAGAGGCAGAGAGGTGGGAGGGGCGAGGAGGGTCATTAGTTGAAAGTGAGAGTTTAGAGAGGGGTGGAGGGAGAGGTGTAGATAGGTAGAAGTAGAAGAGTAGATAGTAGAAGTAGAAGAGTAGATAGTAGAAGACGAAATGCTGCCACCATCCATTCATGATCATTACATACAAGACAAGGAATGGAACTTGCCTGTATCAAAATATTCTCAAAAGATGTTATTACCATGTATCAACTCCAAACATGTACTCATTAAATCATGAAACCAGTAATCACAGAGGCTTTCTCACCTCAACTCAAAACTCTAAGGAACACAGTGAAAGACCATTTAAATAATAAATTCAACAATTATATTTTTCATGATAAGTATCATAACTTAAGCAATCCAATTAAAATGTTAACGATTAATATTCAAAGTGAGTCATCATCCAAGAATTCGAGAACCCTACAACTTGACTGCCCCTGATCATCACACAACATATGTAAACACGACCAAGTCACCTTAATGTTCACTCACCGAGGACTGAGTCTAAGTTGAATAGAGAGGGGGGGGGGGGGGCTGTAGTTGACAGAGACTCCCGCCCTGCCGGCCGACAGCCTCCCTGGTAGGGCTGTCTTCTCTCTCTGCTGGCTCGTGTGCTGTTCTGTCTCGTTAATGCTTCATGCTCGATAGCTCTCCGAGTTTATATTGGGGAACCTAGTAGCTAACTCCGCCCACAAATAGATAGCCTCCAGCACTCTACCAAGCCACTCCTTAAACGTCGGCATGTTTGAAGGCTACCCGGCTCCAATTATACGCTTAGCGGAAGCAAGGTGAAATTCGCATGATCTGACCTCAGGTCACTTGAGGTCATTAACGCTTTGAGGTGTGAGATCTCAGGCAGACAACTGGCGCCTCTCAGATCCTTGTCTGTGACTCATGTACTCTATGTATGTATTTTAAATAAACTAACCCAAACACTTTTACAGTGTTACATCTCCCCTTCTCCCCGAAATAAAGTTTTTGCAACACTGCTAAAGCAAGCTAGCTGTGTGCAACAACTTTATTAACGAAAAAAAAAATACATCCTAGCTAAACAAATATACATCATCCTACTCTAAAAATGAAATATGTAGACAGACGTCCATTGTCTCTGGCTGGGCGACGTCACTGCTTGGTCTTGTAGATAATCCTGTACCACATTTCTTCAACACAACTGCCTCCGTCGCTTCTCCGTCGTTAACGCACAACAACACTTGGTCAACCCGAAGCCGTTACTACTTGAACTGAGCACAGGACCGTGGAATTCGGTTGTCCCAGCTGATCTGTAATTGGCCCTACGTCAGTCACCATGAGAGACGTATATTGGGGTTCTTCACAGCTATAGGGACTACAAGTTTCGAGACCTTCATATAGTTGCCAACAGTAGAAATCCCATCCTACTCTTCTTCCTCCCTGTTGCTCCAGCACGCCTCCTTCAGAGAGCCACTTCTGACAGCCACATCAAGTCCGCACGACACAGGAAGAATCATTCAACAGAGCAACATGCTTGCAGGAGGGGCGGCCAGTTAAGGCAAACGATCCTGTCTTGCAATTACGCTCCATGCAATGATGCTGACACCAGCAAGGGACACTAGGTATCGTGTCTCAGCTTGTCTTATCTTCTTCTTTCTTCTCTCTTCTTTTTTCTCTCTTCTTTCTTCTTCTCTCTCTTCTCTTCTCTTCTCTCTTCTTTCTTCTCTCTTCCTCCTCCCATGGGTCTTTGACAAGCGACCTGGGGTCCATTGGGGTCCGTCCGTCCTGGGGTCCATCCTGGGTAGACCGATGTTGGTGGGACAGACTGGAGTCGTTGTTGTTCCTCTTCCATCTTTACTGGGTCGTCTGGGGACGTCTGCAGAACGACCTGGGGTCCACTGGGGGTCCGTCCGTCTTGGGGTCCACTGGGGTCCGTCCGTCCTGGGGTCCACTGGGTAGACCAATGTTGACCGACCGAGAGGGCTGCATCTTGGGGTCCCCTGGGGTGGTGATGGTGATGGAGCCATGACCTCCAGGTAGTGGGCTGGTCGTGGTGGTGGTGATAAACGCCCGTGAGTATGGTACACAGCAGCCGTCTCCCTCTTTTGTATGTGCGTCTCTCCTCTCTTCTGGCTCCCACCTGTGGATGAACAGAAAGGCGACAATATCGTGCTCCCAAGATATGTTGTGTGACCCTGTAGTTTGTATAGGGTTTACACAGTCCAGTTATACCGCTCTCCTCCTGGCAACAACTACACTTAAAAAATTTTTTAAATAATCCAATTAACACTGAATGATACTGACTTGGTGGAACAAAAAACAGTAACAGAGGAAAGTTAGAGAAGAGAGAATAAGGTCATCACTACTTTTAACTTGTCACAAAAAAAAAAAATCAACACTAATAGACAAAACACTAGCCTAAACTTAACTGTACCTTTCCTAATCTTAAGTACATAATTAACCGTTACTCCCACCCTTAACCTACAGCCACCTACGTGACCCAGAGTGTTTCCCTAGCTTCTCCGCCGGTCAACAACTCAAAACTGTTGCCACCCCTGTGACCAGACTATCTAACGTCGAGCGTCCCCAACGTGAAGTCTACTGACATACTAAGCCTCCCCCTAGCATGCTGTACAAGACCAGTACACCTCGGGTTATTGCGTTCAAATGGAGTAAAACAGTCGATCGCAATAATCTGAGCAGAACCACTACTTAAAAACTACACCTGCCACTCCCCACTGACCTGGAGACCAGCGGTGGCTGGGTGTCCCCGTGGGACATGCGAGGTCACCTGTCACACTCAGCTGACCTGCACTACCAACACCGCTAAGTTCCCAAATCGCCAAATCTTATTACTAACATAAATCACTACACACGCAAGTTCTGGTGAACATTCCCTGAACTACACAAAACTCACAAAATCACTAAACACAACACCAGAGAATCACAATCTCCCAACCTGAAAAAAGTCGCTAATTCGCGAAAGTAAAACACCTGTCAAGATCTCCCTGATAGCGCCTGAGCGGCAAAAAGACACGTGGGACTGAACAATGTTAAAAGAACACCAACTACCTACAACATTGTTCAACACCGCTGCCAACATTGTAACGGGGGGTGGGGGAAATAGCTCTATCTTGTCCATTATTCCACCCCCCAGTTAACTAACGAGGCCGGGGGAAACAGCTCTCTCTAGTCCGTTATCCCGTCCCCAGTTAGCTAACTATTCTAGAGCACTCCCAGAGGTCCTAAGGCAACCTCTCTCGTTCAACACCTTGTAACCTAGGTATTTGACTACCTAGGTGCTAAGACTACAAGGCGCCGTCACTTGATCAGTTACCCGAAACTCTAGAGAGAACTCTAGAATACAGAATCATTGCCACAAACGTATACGAGAAAACGAAAGGAAAGAAATGAATAGTGAAGTAATTAGTGAGGGTTTGGGGTGAGAGGCAGAGAGGTGGGAGGGGCGAGGATGGTCATTAGTTGAAAGTGAGAGTTGAGAGAGGGGTGGAGGGAGAGGTGTAGATAGGTAGAAGTAGAAGAGTAGATAGTAGAAGTAGAAGAGTAGATAGTAGAAGACGAAATGCTGCCACCATCCATTCATGATCATTACATACAAGACAAGGAATGGAACTTGCCTGTATCAAAATATTCTCAAAAGATGTTATTACCATGTATCAACTCCAAACATGTACTCATTAAATCATGAAACCAGTAATCACAGAGGCTTTCTCACCTCAACTCAAAACTCTAAGGAACACAGTGAAAGACCATTTAAATAATAAATTCAACAATTATATTTTTCATGATAAGTATCATAACTTAAGCAATCCAATTAAAATGTTAACGATTAATATTCAAAGTGAGTCATCATCCAAGAATTCGAGAACCCTACAACTTGACTGCCCCTGATCATCACACAACATATGTAAACACGACCAAGTCACCTTAATGTTCACTCACCGAGGACTGAGTCTAAGTTGAATAGAGAGGGGGGGGGGGTCTGTAGTTGACAGAGACTCCCGCCCTGCCGGCCGACAGCCTCCCTGGTAGGGCTGTCTTCTCTCTCTGCTGGCTCGTGTGCTGTTCTGTCTCGTTAATGCTTCATGCTCGATAGTTCTCCGAGTATTTATTGGGGAACCTAGTAGCTAACTCCGCCCACAAATAGATAGCCTCCGGCACTCTACCAAGCCACTCCTTAAACGTCGGCATGTTTGAAGGCTACCCGGCTCCAATTATACGCTTAGCGGAAGCAAGGTGAAATTCTCATGATCTGACCTCAGGTCACTTGGGGTCATTAACGCTTTGAGGTGTGAGATCTCAGGCAGACAACTGGCGCCTCTCAGATCCTTGTCTGTGACTCATGTACTCTATATATGTAAATAAACTAACCCAAACACTTTTACAGTGTTACACAATGAATGGGGGGGTTTATACTCACAGTGAATGAGGGTTTATACTCACAATGAATGTGGGGTTTATTCTCACAATGAATGAGGGTTTATACTCACAATGAATGGTGGTTTATACTCACAATGAATGGGGGTTTATACTCACAATGAATGGGGGTTTATACTCACAATGAATGAGGGTTTATACTCACAATGAATGGGGGTTTATACTCACAATGAATGAGGGTTTATACTCACAATGAATGGGGGTTTATACTCACAATGAATGGGGGTTTATACTCACAATGAATGAGGGTTTATACTCACAATGAATGGGGGTTTATACTCACAATGAATGGGGGTTTATACTCACAATGAATGAGGGTTTATACACACAATGAATGAGGAGTTTCAATGTATATAAAGAATGTGAACAGTTCGAAGATTAAAGTGAATGTGCTCCGTGGGTCAGCCAAGCCGGGATGTGCTCCGTGGGTCAGCCAAGCCGGGATGTGCTCCGTGGGTCAGCCAAGCCGGGATGTGCTCCGTGGGTCAGCCAAGCCGGGATGTGCTCCGTGGGTCAGCCAAGCCAGGATGTGCTCCGTGGGTCAGCCAAGCCAGGATGTGCTCCATGGGTCAGTCAAGCCAGGATGTGCTCCATGGGTCAGCCAAGCCAGGATGTGCCCCGTGGGTCAGCCAAGCCAGGATGTGCTCCGTGGGCCAGCCAAGCCGAGATGTGCTCTGTGGGTCATATCCCCGACCCGCTGCTCTCTTAACAGGCTGTCTGGTTTTGGGAATAATGTCTTAGCGCGAAGTTATAACCGTACATGGCCGTCTTGGAGGGGTCCCCCCCCCCAGCAGATACTGGGTGGTGAGGACCTGAGGGGTGAGGACCTGAGGGGTGGGGACCTGAGGGGTGGGGACCTGAGGAGTGAGGCCCTGAGGAGTGAGGACCTGAGGGGTGAGGCCCTGAGGAGTGAGGCCCTGAGGAGTGAGGACCTGAGGGGTGAGGCCCTGAGGAGTGAGGACCTGAGGGGTGAGGACCTGAGGGGTGAGGACCTGAGGGGTGAGGACCTGAGGGGTGAGGCCCTGAGGAGTGAGGACCTGAGGGGTGAGGCCCTGAGGAGTGAGGACCTGAGGGGTGAGGACCTGAGGGGTGAGGCCCTGAGGAGTGAGGACCTGAGGGGTGAGGACCTGAGGAGTTTTTTTTATTATTATTATTTTCTACCACAGACGTGGCCACACATTTACAATGCTAACCAGCATATATACATTTTCTTCTGTCCTCGGCGAGGACCCGAGGGGTGAGGATCGACCTGAGGGGTGAGGACCTGAGGGGTGAGGACCTGAGGGGTGAGGACCTGAGGGGTGAGGACCTGAGGGGTGAGGACCCGAGGGGTGAGGACCTGAGGAGTGAGGACCTGAGGGGTGAGGACCTGAGGGGTGAGGACCTGAGGGGTGAGGACCTGAGGGGTGAAGACCTGAGGAGTGAGGACCTGAGGAGTGAGGACCTGAGGGGTGGGAACCTGAGGAGTGAGGACCTGAGGGGTGGGAACCTGAGGAGTGAGGACCTGAGGGGTGAGGACCTGAGGAGTGAGGACCTGAGGGGTGAGGACCTGAGGGGTGAGGACCTGAGGGGTGAGGACCCGAGGGGTGAGGACCTGAGGAGTGAGGACCTGAGGGGTGAGGACCTGAGGGGTGAGGACCTGAGGGGTGAGGACCCGAGGGGTGAGGACCTGAGGGGTGAGGACCTGAGGGGTGAGGACCCGAGGGGTGAGGACCTAAGGAGTGAGGACCTGAGTGGTGGGGACCTGAGGGGTGAGGACCTGAGGGGTGGGAACCTGAGGAGTGAGGACCTGAGGGGTGAGGACCTGAGGGGTGGGGACCTGAGGGGTGGGGACCTGAGGAGTGAGGACCTGAGTGGTGGGGACCTGAGGGGTGAGGACCTGAGGGGTGGGGACCTGAGGAGTGAGGACCTGAGGGGTGAGGGCCTGCTAGGCACGAGCTAGCTGCCCTAATGTCACATCTTTGGAATTGTTTCTAGGTTTGCGCCACACTTGGATAGCTTGTTTATTACTATCTGTATTATTATCTTTCTAATCTAGAGTATTATCAAATATGTTTAGCTATGCAACTGGAAATACTGTTGCGGGAAAAACGGTGGTCAACAGTGCAACGGAATTGTCGCTCGCCGGCACGTCTGTTGTTTAATTGGGGGTAAAGGTGGTGAGGTGTGAACTATTGGAGAAAGGTGGGGCAGAGTCAGGCCCCCTTGTTAGCTGCTGCTCCTGCTGCTGTGGTGCTCCTGCTGTGAGCCCTCCTACTCTGCTGTCTGGTGTTGTGATGTCACCTGCTGCTGCTGGAGAGGGCTGGGTGTGGTGGCAGGGGCTGGGTGTGGTAGCAGGGGCTGGGTGTGGTGGCAGGGGCTGGGTGTGGTGGCAGGGGCTGGGTGTGGTGGCAGGGGCTGGGTGTGGTGGCAGGGGCTGGGTGTGGTGGCAGGGGCTGGGTGTGGTGGCAGGGGCTGGGTGCGTGCAGATAGGGATTGTGTTGTCAATAGTAACACCGCCCTGAAGTTCTGGCCACCAGATCTTAGCTACGTAACATTAACTGCCAATATTAGCATTTCCTTACCTTGTACCTAATAACTACTAGGTTATTTTTTTTAGTTATTTACTTTAGTTATTTTTTTTAGTTAATTTTTTTAGTTATATATATATATATATATATATATATATATATATATATATATATATATATATATATATATATATATATATATATATATATATATATATATATATGTGTGTGTGTATATCACGAAAATAAACACGTGATTAAAAATGTGATAATGTCAGACCACGGAGGAAAAATGAAACAGGAATTTTCCTTAAGTACTTTCGTATATTAATACATCTTCAGAAGGAGTATTAATCACTCCTTCTGAAGATGTATTAATATACGAAAGTACTTAAGGAAAATTCCTGTTTCATTTTTCCTCCGTGGTCTGACATTGTCATATATATATATATACATTATATATATATATATATATATATATATATATATATATATATATATATATATATATATATATATATATATATATATATATATATAATATTGCCACGGGCGTGTGGTTATTGTTTTTCATGTCTGAAATTAAATCGGGCATGTGATTACCGTAGAGTTTACTATCATGAGTTGCATGGCCTCTCATTAGCAGAACTAGCAGCATTACATTTAGCAACCAGCACATTAAAAAATATTGGAGGAGGAATAATATTCTGCGATTCAAAGTCTGCTCTTCAAGCAATCGAAAACTTCTCTTGGAAGATCGACAGCAAGAACCTAATACTCCCAATTATAAATGACCTAATTGATGCACAGAGTAAAGGGTCTCGAATCTCCTTTGTATGGATACCTTCACACATAAATATAACCCATCATAATGAGACAGACATTGCAGCCAAATTAGCGTGTAACAAGTTTGAAGTTGAATTAGATCTAGGTATCCCCATCTCTGCTGTCAAAACTGTATTGGTCCAAACATTCAGATCTGATAGGAAAGAACTTACTGACTCCCAACGACCTGAAAGTACTAGTATAAAAAGCTATGATTTGTTCAGATCTGAAACCTACATCTATGGACAGCACAAAACGTCCACTAGACTGTGCGACACAGTGGTTGCAAGGATCAGGTTGGGTTACCGTTACCTGTGGCAGGTGGCTGCAGGTGACGGGTCTCCCAATCCTGAGCACTCCAGTTGCAAACTCTGTGAGCAGGAACTACGGCATGATCTCCCGCACTACATCACTGAATGCCCAGTTATTAGACCTTTCAGACCAGTTGGCATGAGGTACCTGGAGCTTTGCAATTACTTTATTCACTCTCGTATTCTTGAAGATATCCTCACAGTATACCCAAAATTTGCCAGTGCAGGCTATTAAACACATGGCTCTGTATGACTAACCATCCTGCGAGATGGGGACTTGTATTACCACTGCTACCTTATTCAATCTTGTGTTGTTGATATCCTCAAAATGCATCCGGAGTCTGCCAGTGCAGACTGCCTATCACATGCCTCTGTATGACTAACCATCCTGTGTGATGGGGATTTTATAGCATCACCTAGTTAGCTTTTTTTGACACACTGTACTCCACTTCATATAGTCTAGGGTAGCTGCACTAATGCAGATGTACCTCATAACTTAATAAAAAAAAAAAAAAGCCTCTCATTAGTTGCAGACTACTTTATTCACTCTTGTGTTCTTTATGCTATCATCATAAGGCAGCCAGAGTTAGCCAGTGGAGGTTTTTGGTCACAAGGCCCTATATGACTAGCCATCATGTGCGATGGGATTTTTTAGCATCACTAGTAGTTCCTTTAGCATTCACTAGTAGCTAGTTCCTGACACACTTCCTGCCGTTACTTCTGGCATTCCAGGTCACCTCGTTACTTCTGGCATTCCAGGTCACCTCGTTACTTCTGGCATTCCAGGTCACCTCGTCCTTGTAGGGCGAGGCATCAGCCTTGAGAGTGGCAGTCTATTCCTAATTCGTCAAACATCTCTCTGTGATGCCACAAATTCTTTCCGCGAATGAAGAAGTTTTACTGCTGTGTTCAGATCCAGTGGTGAAGTTTGCTGACTCAGGCTTGTTCAGTGGAGGGGTTGTGTGGGTAGTGATGACCACACACTGAGACACTCTGGTAGTGATGACCACACACTGAGACTGGTAGTGATGATCACACACTAAGACACTCTGGTAGTGATGACCACACACTAAGACACTCTGGTAGTGATGACGTCACACTGAGACACTCTGGTAGTGATGACCACACACTAAGACACTCTGGTAGTGATGACCACACACTGAGACACTCTGGTAGTGATGACCACACACTAAGACACTCTGGTAGTGATGACCTCACACTAAGACACTCTGGTAGTGATGACCACACACTGAGACACTCTGGTAGTGATGACCACACACTGAGACACTCTGGTAGTGATGACCACACACTGAGACACTCTGGTAGTGATGACCACACACTGAGACACTCTGGTAGTGATGACCACACACTGAGACACTCTGGTAGTGATGACCACACACTGAGACACTCTGGTAGTGATGACCACACACTGAGACACTCTGGTAGTGATGACCACACACTGAGACACTCTGGTAGTGATGACCACACACTGAGACACTCTGGTAGTGATGACCACACACTGAGACACTGTGGTAGTGATGACCACACACTGAGACACTGTGGTAGTGATGACCACACACTGAGACACTGTGGTAGTGATGACCACACACTGAGACACTCTGGTAGTGATGACCACACACTGAGACACTCTGGTAGTGATGACCACACACTGAGACACTCTGGTAGTGATGACCACACACACACTCCCTGGAATACCTCTCTCTCTCTCAACTTTCCAGTTTTCCAGCAAGAACCTTTGCCCCGCGGCGTGCAACAGCTTTGTCATCAGAATCATCTCACTTTCCTCCGAGCAGGTGTGTCTCTGAGAGTGACTTTGATCCCCAGCATATGCTGCACAAACATGTGCAGACCACCGCGTTCTCAACACATGTTTGGCTACACATAGTTGTTTACCTAACCTCTCAAGAAGCGCCTCCTGGCGACGTGCAGAGGCACTTGAGAGGTCGCAAGTGAGAGACGAGGAGGGAAGGAGGTGAAGCTAAGCCAGTAATTCCAGAAGCCGAAGACAATTACCATTTGAAGGCAAGTTTAAAATCTTGTGGTATCCTCGCACTGCTCATCAGTATCCAGCTAAACATATGGTAGTTACAACAACCGTTTCCCGGAGGAGGTTTTCGGGGGAAAGCGCCAAGTCATTACGACTATATAGCACTTGGAAGGGGTCAGGATAAGGATTTGGGATGGGACGGAGGAAAGGAATGGTGCCCAACCACTTGGTGGACGGTCGGGGGATTGAACGCCGACCTGCATGAAGCGAGACCGTCGCTTTACCGTCCAGGCCAAAGTGTTTCCTGGAGCGGTGTTGCGTACGCCAACATGGAAGATAATGGAGAGCGTTTGAATACAATTTCCTCCCGCTGTTGCCTAGGTTCTTTCTCCTGCTCCTTCTGGGGCTGTGATTGGTTGTTGTTGTTGTTAAAGATTCGCTACTTGGAACAAACAGTTCCAAGTAGCACGGGCTATGGTGAGCCCGTAGGTAGGTACTGTGATTGGTGAGAGTGATGGCCAGGTATCCCTCCCACCCCATCCTGAAATGCGAAACATAACACTGTAAA